GAAAAAATATCTTACCCCGAAAATATGGTCGATTCTTTCAATCCCATCCTTTCTCCGTTCTCCTGACTTTTTGTTTTCCCTACACCGAGCCATCGCTCAAGTAGGTATCTGAACCCAACACCGACATTATTTCCTTAAGCGTTACAAATTACGACCTGGAAGGGATTCCTGTTCAGGTGTATTTTTCCTCCGGGAAAAAGTTATCTCTTCGGAAGCATTGATAAACGAGCGGCAATTTTTCTCTTCGTCGAGGACGCGCGAATTTACTCCTCCACTTATTTTCGTTTTAATTTTTGGCTGTGATTGAAGACGCGAATAATTCAGCACGAGGTGATATTTCACGCGATTATCTGTCGGCGCTGATTTTTCCTGAGAATTGGATGCCATCTTCGGAACTAATTCAAGTTTTTACGGGGGTCTTCATACATAGCCCATCTAAGATAACTGAGCGAGTGATTAAACAGAGATTACAGGAATTTATCGACGACAACGAGCTTATACCAGATGAGCAGTTCGGTTTCAGAACTGGCCACTCAACTGAACTACAAGTCTTGAGACTCATTGAGAACACAATATCGTTGAGAAATGATAGACAAAAGACCCATCTTGCTCTCCTTGACATAGCGAAAGCATTTGACAAGGTGTGGCATGATGGTATCTTATACAAAATGATCGATATGGGCTTTCCTGACGATTTGATTCAGTTGATGTGTTCATTTCTGAAAAATCGAACTTTTCAAGTAAAACTTGATGATCAACGATCTGGTATCAAGCCCATTGAAGCTGGTGTTCCTCAGGGTGCAGTTTTATCTCCGCTGTTGTACAGTTTATATACTAGCGATTTGCCAAGACCAGTGATGTGCAAGATGTCGCTATTTGCTGATGATACGGCAGTTCTTGCATATTCTACAAATTTCGAGCAAGCAGCTATGAACCTCCAAAGCGCACTGAATTCTCTTCAGGAGTACTTCCTAAGATGGAAGATCAAATTGAATCCTACAAAAACACAATTGGTCGCACTTGGAAGGGAGCGGAGGCCTCCCAGAACCAGAATAGTCCTGGATGGTCATGAGTTAGAGTGGTCTTCACAAGTTAAATACTTAGGTGTGTGCATTGACAAAAAGCTCACCTGGGCATAGCACATTGAACAGCAAGTTTCTAAAGCTAAACGAGCCATTGGAGCCCTGTATCCATTTCTAAACAGGCGAAGTAAATTGGGTTTGAGACAAAAATTGAATATTTATATCATGGCTATCAGGCCAATTTTACTGTATGCCTCAGTAGTCTGGGGCCACACAGCTAAATCTCATATCACCAGATTACAAACATTACAAAACAAAGTCGCGAGAATGGTGACAGGATCTCCTTGGTATGTTCGGAATAACCAGATCGCCAGGGATCTGAAACTCCCTTCAATCGTGTCAGTCATTAAAGAACGAAACATCAAGACTTTCGAAAAAGCTGAGGTTCATGAGAATCAGCTTCTTCGAAATGTAGTTGATTATGACCCAGGTGATCAATCAAAGTTCAAAAGACCGAGATTGTCCATAAACTAGAGAAAATATCGACATTATGACCAAATTTACTATTCTCAAGTTTTTTATATTAATTTTTTCCGTTCGATCTCTTTCAATTCTTAGAATGAATGAAACTTATTTGGGGCAGAAGGGCTGTTCGCATCAAACTTCAATACCGTTTTTATTTTGTTCCATAATAGATATCAGGATAAGAGGGACTCTTCCCTGGTCTGAATAGAATAAAAGAAAGATCCAATATATCATACATAGCGAGTGATTTGTCAAAGTGCCTCACCCCTTCAAAATTTTCATTATTGAAAATGGAAGAACGAAATTTAAGGGTTGTATATTATAGTTCAATTCACATTTTTTCACATATTTACTTGCCATGCCGTACAGGGTCATTCCGTATATTTAAACAACTTCTACAGGGTTTATCATTGAAGATAGAGAAAAACTTTGAAAGCAAAAGTTGTAGGGATTGTTCTGAACCTCCAGAAAATTATACCAGATGAAACAAATGAATATCGCTGATATAAAAAATTGGTACCAACTTCGTTATTTTCAATGGAACACCATACAGTGTGACCCATTTAAGATGGAAGCACCCTTATAAAACTTACATTTTTCAACCGATTGGAATGATTTTTTTTTTGTTAGGTAGATATTCAAAAAGTCTATTAGGACACCAAATATCATGAATAAATCTCCATTTCCAGGGCCAACTAATCTGATTTGTCAAGGTCAAAAATCTAAAAGAATTACTAGCGATTTTTTTAGAAAAAATCTGACTACACCACTGGATTTGTGACATTTTCAAATGGGTAACATGTAAATTACGTTGAAATGCGTCAATGAATAAAAAAGTTATAAAGGAATGAAATTTGAAAAATATGCCGTTTAATCAACCCACCAATTCATGTTCAGGAATTTTATGAAAATTCTTTATACTCCACTGGATTCAGGATGTCTTGAAATATTACTGATCACAGTTTCATCGAAATCTGTTCAGTAATAAAAATTGATGGGTTGATTAAACGGCATATTTTTCAAATTTCATTCCTTTATAACTTTTTTATTGATTGACGCATTTCAACGTAATTTATATGTTATTCATTTGAAAATGTCACAAATTCAGTGGTGTAGTCAGATTTTTTCTAAAAAAATCGCTAGTAATTTTTTTAGATTCTTGACCTTGAAAAATCAGATTAGTTGGCCCTGGAAATGGAGATTTATTCATGATATTTGGTGTCCTAATAGACTTTTTGAATATCTACCTAACAAAAAAAAAATCATTCCAATCGGTTGAAAAATGTAAGTTTTATAAGGGTGCTTCCATCTTAAATGGGTCACACTGTATATATTTTTCAAAAAAATTCAAGATCTCTTCTTCCTGATTCCAAAAATATATATGGCATTGATATTTGTCTCAGCCGTTTTCGAGATATTCGAGGTTGAACATTGTAGATTTTACCAAATCGCAACTGCCATGAAGGAAAAAAAACTCACTTTCATAACTGAAGGAGATGCAATTTCACAGATGTTCGATGTGACCACCGTTGTTTTATATACATTTTCTGAAGTCTTTATCCAATTTATTCATCGAATTGCAAATGGAGTTGGAGTGATGGTTGTTCAAATATTTTAATGCATTTCAAAATGCTTCCTCTCAAATCAGCCAAATTTCTACTTCTTTCCTTATACACTTCATTCTCCAAATAGCCCCATAGGAAGTTATCTAAAGGTGTTGAATCTGGACTGTTCGGCGGCCATTCCACTGTTCCAAATTTTCCGATCCACGTTTGATAACGATCATTCAAGTGATGCCGTACGGGCATAACTTGATGAGGTAGCTCGAGCTCCCACTGCATTATTATTATTTTTGTAGAATGAACGAATACTTTCAAACTCTTCATCTTCACTGAAACCCATATTTCTTCAGAAATTCTATGCAATGAACATATGACAGAACGTTTTATTGATGACAAATTGCGTATGTGTTGTTTTTTCCTCATGGCAATTGCGATTTGGTGGAATCAAATTAAAACTAAATCGAAAATGTTCAACCTCGAATATCTCGAAAACGGCTGAACCAAATATCAATGACCAATATATTTTTGGAATCAGGAAGAAAATATCTTATATTTTTTGAAAAATATATAGGGTGTTCCATTGAAGTTGGTACCATTTCTTATATCAGCGATATTCAACTGTTTCATCTGGTATAATTTTCTGGAGGTTCAGAACAAACCCTACAACTTCTGCATTCGAAGTTTCATTTCAATACTGAACGTATTGGTAAGTTTCATTTCTATTTCATAATACATCATATTATTTTTTCTGTGACGGGAAAAAAGTTTGGCATTTCATCTCTGTTGGCAGGTTATAAAATGTCACTTTTCATAAATTACTTTTTTCCCGTGGGCAAAAAGTGAGTACTTTTTTCCCGGATATATATCACATATACCTATATACACTGTTGATGGCTTTTGTTGTGCTATAGTTCCGAAAAATGAGTCAATTATACTGTCTCCGAGAAAGAACTGCAAGTCCTTATCTTCGATTCGACTTCGCGGTTACGTATATTACTAAACAACCACTAAATTCGCAATTTTTTGAAATCAAATCACAGAATTAGACTGACAGAAGTGACATCAAATATTTGATTACTTCAAAAGAATTATAAAGATGCATATAGAACGCAGGTGCCCCTACTGTTAAAAACTTAAAATTTCACGTCGATAATTTTCAGATTTCAGAATAATGTAACATTTTCTCAATATTGATTCGTACTTTCTTCTGTCACAGAAAAAAATAGTGTATTATACACGGGAAAAATATTAGATTTTAGCTCACGGTTTTTTGTCTCCCTCCGCTACGCGTCGGGAGACAACACAACCTGGAGCTAAAATCTACTACTTTTTTCCCTTGTATAATAAATAACTATTATCATACAATCGCCGGCAGAAAAAAAAAATTTGACAAACTGTTCGCCCTGTAACTTTTTCAATTCTTGTCCGATTCTGGTGAAATTTCGACAAAATCGTATATTCATAATTCGGAATGTTAGCCTAAATATTAGGTCCTGAGAGAAGCTGACGGATTGATCATTATACAGGGAAAAACAAAAGTTACTTTTTCACCCTCAACTTCCTAACAGCCTGTGGAAAATGTCATTCGAGGAACTTAGCTTCAATTATTATTAGAAATGCTCGGTCAGCAAGGATTTTCGGGAAACAGCAAGAATAAACTACCCCTCTGAAGGATTGAATCGGAATTATTTTACTAGTGGCATCTATATAATCATATAGAATATTCAAATATGCAATTTGAAGAAAAAATTCGAACCAGAAATGCTTGGTCAGAATACTTTGATAATTTTGGTCAGCAAATTATATTTCCCCTATATTCAGTGATACCTACTCAATCAAATGATTTCTAAAGATCTCGATGGACTCTGGTAATCAAAGTTTCTTTTTCCAGAGTGGCAGTACTGGTAACAACGACGGTCTGACCAAGCAACAGCTCGACCTCATACATCAAATCATGGAGCAGACGCAGCGACAATCGCAAGCGGTGGTTGCGGCGGCCAGCAAGTCGTCCACATCTAAACCCACTTCATCGAAACCGAGCAGCGGAGGCAGTAGCAAATCGTCCAGTAAATCACACCATCAGAGCAAATCATCGTGGTTGTCATCAGTAAGTATATTCATGCTTGTTTTCAGATTATCTACTTAGTACCAATAATTATTTACAAGTTTTTGGAGTTCTGATAGGTTTCCTCTTCCCGTTTCTAATCTGACAGAGTAAGTCCTTTTTTTTTCACAAATCTGAACTTGAAATTCAGTTATCGACTAGCTTCGGATATGGCTTCAACATGAAAATGGCAGAAAATTATGAAAAATTTGGAGCTGTTTTACTTTTCCACTCATAACTCCGAAACGACTTGATATAGAGAAAAAATTATCGCGGATTAAAATGAAAGCAAATGAAATTCACAAAAAAATAATATGAAAATCAGCTCGCAAACTTATCTGGTTTAGCCGCTAGAGCGCGCTGAATATTGACCATAGTTTTCAAGTTATTCAAAATATTCGTATTTCAGACTTTCAAAGCATACAGTCTGTCCACGGAATCTGCGCCCTTCAGATTGGGTGTGAAGTCAAAATGGAATCCATTATATAGGTCTGCTTGTTGAAGACACTCATGGTTGTACAGATAAGAATAAATAGACAATCATCAGAAAATTCATTCAGTGCAGTTGAGGCAGTAAACGGTCTATTGCGTGAGGTTCACTTCTTTCCTGGCCTTTTCGCCTTGGGAGACTCTCATTCTGAGACACAAAAGAGATACCCATTAATTAACATTTATATTTGTTGTGACTGGTGATATGTTGGTTAGATGAACAGCAAATATTGATACCTTCAGTTTCATACGAGGTTCCTGGCAATTCCTCAGTAGCCTACTGCTCATCATTCCCGATACCAAAACTAGGCAGGACATCTGAAAAATATCACAGTTACATCGTGTTCAAGAAGAAATAGTGAAGGTATTGAGTTTTTCACATATGTGAACGATTAATTACTTTCTTCACTAGCAAAGTCCTGCACAACCTCTTCGTTCTCATCATCCAGATCGCCGTCATAGTCGGAATACATCTGACTGTTGCTGCAATAGTCCTCACATCATTTGCACATTTTGTAACAGAACAACCCGGCCTTTTTGCAGCCGGAGTTTGGTTTACAATATTGTACGCAATTGCAGGCAACAAGATGCAACAGCTTGTCTGGTGCACACGGTTGTATGGTTGTTTTTGGCATCAATTCGTTGTTTGTCAAGTACCATCCCCAGAGCAAAGGGTTTTTGGTGTTGCCAAGCAAATTCCGGTTCCATCGTCCAGCGGCTTATCACAAAGTGTACGATAATTATCGTTCGGCATTTTAACTTAATCACGAAAGATGTGAAAATTACATAAATTTTGAAACAAATCACTTAGCAACTGACTGTGTGACAATCGGGGTTGTTCCAAGATGATAGGAACCCAGGCAACCAGATGACGAATGATCACGTCACTATGACGTCCCTAATTGGTGATTTTTCGTCAGAGACGTCACACACCGATTTATGACGTCACTATGACGTACTCTCTATGACGTAATAATCACGTCATCGTTTCGACGTCGAGTGAACGTCACTCAGATGGGTAAAATAAGACGTCAGTTTCATGACGTTGCAGGGACGTCCTGTCGACGTCCATTTTTCCCAGACCTCCTCTAAACCATGGATACTTATATATTATCATGTGAAACAGAAGTATAACTCATGAAAGCAAATCAACATGCAATTTTTATTCTAATTATTAATATAACCGAAAAGTAGTAGAAAAACTTTTTTCTAAAAAACTTTGACACACTGTATATGTAGGACACCAACAAGCTATGTATATATAATGATGATTGTTTAGGTATACCTATATTGAAACCGTTACTCTTATGACGTTGCAGTGACGTATCTACGCCGTCTAAAAATCACGTCGGTGTGACGTACCAATTTGGTAAGCTTCGTCATTTAGGAAATTCTTCAATAATTTGCTATATAGATTTTTGTTGGGTGACAAAGAATGCATCAATATACATTATTCAACAAAGTGAAGCCAAATTCGCCAACATCCTTTCCATTGCTATCAAACTATTCTTTGTTTGCTTACATCTCGCCGACACAAACTACATAAATTCTGATACAAATACGAGTAACTGATTGCATTCTGATGGAGATGCGTACTGAAGGATGGCGCTGCTGAATAGGCGATTGAATATGAACAGGAGGGACCCACCAAGCAGACTCAACAATGCATAATCAATATTATATAATGTCATCAGAGGCTAGTGGTGTTTATCACACCATGTTAAAGGAATCTTTTTTACGTATCATCGCCAAATTCAATCGACGTGAGTAATATGACGTCATTGGGCTGTGACTTATTCACGTCATTATCACGTCAATGCGACGTCAACTACTGACGTCACCTTGGTCATTCAAGTGACGTGAAAAAGACGTCACTACAACGTCATCTGGTTGCCTGGGAAATGGTACTAGACAAATTCCAATTTTCGTGCCAGATTCAGAATGAAGCGTAATTGATGTATATTTGTGATTTGGAGGGAAATGAATAATGAAACCATAAAATAAACGTTGAGGAAGGAGGTTCAGGATACTCCATGGTGAGATACACTAGGCGAAAACACTAGCCTCGCGATGTATACTAATTTGAAATCTGAAATACAAATATTTTGGACAACTTTAAAACTATTGTCAATTATCAGGGCGCTCTAGCGGCTGGATCAAAAAAGATATCCAGCTGATTTTGATCTTGTTTTACAGTAAATTTAATAGGCTTCCATTTTTGTATGATGAATTTTTTCACTAAATCACGTCGTTTCGGAGTTATAAGCAAAAAGTCTAGATAAGTCCCGAATTTTCATGGTTTATTGCGTTTTTCGTGGCGAAGTCATATTCGAATCAAGTCGATAACTAGATTTTCAGATTCAGCATCACAAAAACCATATAAATGCGTCGAGAAAAATTCTTTAGCAATTTTTTCCTGAATCCAGTGCTTTCCGTCACCAAATGACTGGATTATGGAAAGTATCATTCTATCCAGATTCATGAATTGAAAGTACAACGAATGAACACAATTCTTGGGATTCAAATAGGTCCTGTTCATCATGCTAACAACATAAGACATTAAAAAGGGTAAACAAAATAATACGGAAGTGCTGACGGTCCTGCATATTTAATAAAATTCTAAACTTCAACGGGCTGCCAAAAGCGGTTTGTGGTTAACCAAATATGTATAGCCATAATGAATCTTTTTCAATTATTCAGGCCTCCCCTAAAATGTGCTCATGAAAATACAAAGAGCTTTATGTATTTTTAATCCTGTATTTCTGGCGGATTCGGTGTTTTTAATGATGCCACCGAGTTTAATCATGTTCTCTGAAAGTAAGAAGTAAACCGACTTCCAAAATATTCATGAGACAATATAAAATGATCTAAAACTGTTACGCAACTCGCAAGTCTCATCACAAAAGTAGATGAATAAATCAACTGTAGGTTTCAACTAATTATTAAAACAAAATGTTTACTGACAAATTTCAAATTTCTGAGAACCGGTTTGTTCACCTAATGCAACATTGTAGACTCGACAGTTTTTCGTCCTTGGTACATAAATAACTATTATCGAAATCGATCAGATAATAATGATTTATGATACATGATACATTGATATACGATCGAAATACTAAGATCATAATCAATTACACTATTTGTTAAACGATTTCAATTTTTGTCCGTTCAACGGAAATTCATCTGACTCTCTTATCATGGATGCTGATGTTCCGCAAGGATCAATTCTAGCACCAACACTATTTCTACTCCATATCAACGATTTGTTGGAAGCAACTTCATGTCCAGTACACAGCTTCGCGGATGATAGTACCCTCCATACCGCCTCCTCTTCCAGGGCTGCAATACCAGCCAGGCAAATCAGAAACGAACGAGGGAGAAATTTTGACCACATAAGTATGGACTTGGCAACAATTCTCGAATGGGGATCCAATAACTTAGATTTCAATGCAAACAAAACACAAGCATGCCTTTCCTCTAGAAGAGCCGATCTCACTGTGCCCAACATTAGCTGCAGTAACCATGCCTTTGAAGACATCCATTTCGATGCTTGGTATTACTATCAGCAATAACCTTCCTAGGGAAAATCACGTGAGATCAATTGCTAAAAGTGCATCCCAAAAACTTGGCTTTCTGTTTCGGGCCAGGAGCTATTTCACTTCCAGTCAGCTGCTCATGATCTATAAGGCACAGATCCTACCTGTCCTGGAATATACTGTTCCCAAATTTGAAGTGCAGCATCCAAACATACCCTGAAACTGTTGGATTCTGTCCAAAAAAGGGCAATTCGTCCCGTGGGTAATGCCTCGCTCACAAACTCACGCACTTCTCTGGAACAGAGTAGAAAAGTTGGCGATCTGACTCTATTCTATAGATATTTTCATGGACGATGCTCTTCTGAAATATCAACAATAGTTCCTCCCTTGGCAGTCCCCGCGAGATTAACCCGTCGAGTTGAGGCTTCTCACCCCTTCGTGGTCACTCTGGAGACCTGCAGTACATCTCGTTCCAAAGACTCGTTCATCCAACGAACAGCAAGGCTCTGGAACACATTGCCAAGGGAGGTGTTCCCCAAGGCATATAACCTTCAGAAATTCAAGAGGAACACCAATTTCAACCTTATTTCCCTTGGTTCTCACGATGTTCTCTGAACATTACAGGATATTCTTTTTCGTGAGAACCAGAACATAAAAAAAAGTATAGTATAGGTACTCTATGAGGTCTACATTCAAGATTAAATGCATGATAATGAGAAAAATTATACCTCATGAGTTCAGGAGATTCCTCATTTTTCCAAACGATCCAATTATATGCCTTCGTCAAAATACGAATAAGAAATGTCTACTAAGCAAAAGCAACCATTCAGATTTCCTCAATCAGGTTGTTGATACATCACAAATTTGAACAGATCTACAAAGCAAACATCCAGATTGCTTTTCTCCGATCGAGCTTAAATCTCCACTTCTTTTCGAACCCATTTACAAATTAATTGAAACGGATCAATTATCTCTCTG